TGCTGCAATCCATGTCGATGTCCTAAATTCTGATTAGCAACGACTTGCTTCGTCTGCTAAACATGTTACTTGGACAAATATTCAATAAATATGCATTGATTAATACGGTAATAAACAGTATTAAGAGGTTCATGCAGGAAACTTTGCGTGAGCGATACAACAGGACATTTGTAGAGACTTATAATGAAGGAACGGTTATCAAATACCATATACTATAAGATCCGATAACATCAATGCTGCAACGATTTATTATCACTCCCACCAGTAAATGCAGTTATCTCAACTTCCTAGAAGTTCATTTATTCAGAAGCTCTGCATTGCTTTATAATTTCACTATTAAATTATCTGAACGGAAACATCCAAAACAATGGATTTTTTGTAATTTTTTTCGGGAATCATTGACATTCCGTTTCATCCAAAATTATTTGAAAATATCTCTATTGAGATCGCGTCACGGTGCAAGCCCTCAATGGAAAGAAATTCTCATATATGAATCGTTTATCTAAAGTAAAGTCTTGCTGGTGGATCGTCGCTCCAGTGCCTTCGTCCTATGTTGATCCGTTCTTGTCCTGAAACAGCAAAGATCCTACTTACTATAAAGCGCTTCGTCTGTCGTCTGTCGTCTGTCTGTCGTTCTGTATGTCTGTCACGAAATTCCCTAGCTCCTCGGGATCCACCTGGAGGGACCGGGTCAAGTGTGGAATGGGTGGGCAAGGTCTCACGTAATACAAAACACACATCAGCTAAGCGGAGCCCCGCCCACAGAGGGCGTGGCGTGCGTCGAAATGAATTGTACCGAAGACCAAGATTTCGATTTCAGTGACAAAACGACCTCGAAACTGGGCCAAAAAGTGGGTAAAGGTGTGCATTGGTAAGTCACATCGAATTAGGGAGACCCACCCCCGGTGGGCGGGGCGTTCTCCAAAAAAGCAGTGCTTTATGAAAAATTTCATAACTCGGTTGGGAGAAAGCCTACAGAGCAGAAAACAATTGGTGTAAGGGAGCAATGTCTAAGGTGTTTCCTGCATACATGACGTGGGCGGAGGCCCGCCCAGAATGGGCGGGGCGCGCTCTGAAGTGTACAGCATTTTCTACAAGCCCTCATAATTCGGGTCGGGGAAGTCTTAAAGAGCCGGAAAAAGGTGGATAGAGGTGTATGGAGGAGTGGAGGCCAGCTGTCATCGGTGGGCGGGGCTTGACCAAAGTGGGCGGAGTTTGCGACGAAAATTCATAACTCGGCTCCAAGAAGTCCCGGATGGGGAAAAAGGGGATAGAGGTGGGTGGGGAAAAGAGAATCACCAGCTTTAGCGCCCGCAAAAGTTATAAATTCGGTTCCAAGCAGTCCTGGAGACCGGGAAAAGGTGGATCGAGTCCACCTACGGGAAAAAGTTCATATCAGCCAGCAGCGTGCATCCGAAAAGGAGGAGCTATCCACGAAACATTACGCCTTGGTTCCAAGAAGTTTGGAAACTAGGAAAAAGTAGATAGGTCCGACAATCGAAAAGAGGCGAACAGGTAAATGGTGGGTGGGCATACGCCAAAGAGGGCGGGGTTTGGCACAAACCACTATGAAAATATTGATGGCCCTGCTTTATAAAATTGCAGTCCCGTGTGATGCAGGCGAATGCGTGCGCAGCCAAACTGGTAAACATATAAACGTTAAATGGTATAATAACATCCGCAATGCACAGCCCAATAGCAGCTCACCTGTTGAAAATAAAATCAGCTAGATAAGGTTTCCTTCTTGCATGTGGTTCTTCTCCAGGGTCAATGGAACCATCTGGGAGCTGATGCTTGTAGAAGCACTTGTTTCCAAAAGGACAGCCTTCTGCAGACACACCTTCCTAAAGAAAGGATGACAAATTCCAACAAAATGCAATCATACGATGTCTGACAGTTTTGATGTCACTAGTCTATAAATTATTACGACGAGCTAATGGATGTTAAGAATTCCGTGATAAATCGTCAAGCGGGTGTTTTTTGGGTCATTTTTTGATCATATATAAAACTGATACTCTAAAATTAGAATCATGTACAAGGTGGAATACATATTATGTTGGCATAAAATCATTAAAGAAGTAGGTTTTTCCCCAGCCCTTATTCTGCGGAATTCTATGCCTTCAAACGTTCTGTAGCCTAATAGGTCACATTTAGCGCGCACTCCAACATTCCTCTTCCTTAACTGGATTAATGGTAAGTTTGTTCCATCACGCTGTGCAACCTAATGTCTTTACAAAATTCGCCCCAACGTCAGTAATCCGATGAAGACCGACCACCGGTTATACATAGAAATAATACTGCTACTATTTACAACAATTTTCGCTCATCTCATCGTCAGTATAGTACTTGGAAAACTACAACAGTCGCAAAATCCACTATACCCTTCAACGCCACATCTTGTAGGAGAGGTATGAGGTAAGAGGTATGCACCATCAGCTACCGACAGCCTGTTGATATTGCTCCCAATTAAACGGGAAATTAGACCTGAAGATCACAGAGTGCTTCCCAAGCTGATTCTCTGTCTCAAAGGTTTTCGTTTAGGATGAGCTGTAAGTGCTTTGAGAGGCAATAATCCGACAAGGAGAGGTCCGTAGAAGGCATTAGGTACAATAGATTATCAGGCAGTACAATCGTGGAACGGGCGCCTCTACCAACTTCCACTTTTGGCTTCTCATAACAGCGTCCCATGCTCAGCTGGAGGTGCCGGCTAGTATTGCCTCAGGCTCCCTTCAGCACTGACTCAACCTACTCGATTTCTAAATTACCAACCACCTTCAACGCTTGTCGCGCTGAGAAAACCTTGAGGAGTAGGATGAGATCACTAGTGAATCGGGCACAAAATCTGCAAGCCTACTCCCCACCCATAATCTTGTAGCGCCCTATAATCTCGACAATCGCCCGAGCACTGCTACATGGCTGGTATCGGTGCATACCCCTGATTCCGACCCTCCCGCCGCGCGTCATAATCATATTTTACAAAAAAGTCGCAATAAACAAACCTCCTGTTTAGATTCGGAACTCCATCGTGTCTCTACCTTGAAGTATTTGCCAACCTGCTTCGGATGTTTATTGCGGTATACCATCCGCACAAATATATCGATTCCTCGTCATCTCAACCCAAAGTGTCTGACGGAATCACGAAATCTAGGTTGGCTGGCCATCGACATGATGCAAAAGAAATCGGGAAACCCTTGCGAATCAGAATAAAAGCAAAGCACGACGGTTACCGAACAACATCAGCGCTCGAAGTTATCCGTCCCCACTCCATGCAGTCCAAACAAAAACAATGACGACATCCTTCCAGTATTCCAAAACGGAGTGCCTTGAATTACTCAATCAGGGTATAATCGTAAAACTGTTACGAAATTTCGTTGTGAGGAGGAACAAACACCACCAGATAGCTACCAATAAACGAAAATAAAATGCGTTTTCCTTGCTCACCTTTTCCATGATGTTTTCCATACAAATCCCACAGCATTTTCCTATACTCTTTGCTTCAGCAAATGCTTGTTCCATGGCTAGCTCATGCTGCTTTAAACATTCCTATAAAAACCACGGCGGGAACATAGTTCTTCCGAGCAGGAATTGAAAACACTTATAACCGTCAACACATACGCGACCTTTGACAAAAAATCGCCTATAATCACCCCTAAACAATTATTGGAATAAGAATGAACTTACTGCGAAGTGCTGCTTTTGTTGCTTTTCATCATACGGATGGATGCATGCACGAGAGCACATATCACATACAAGACCATGTACAAATTGGCATTGTTCGTTTGTGCACTCTCCCACTTCGAAAATAAGCACAGCGTGTAGCAAAGCGGCCCCTTCACTTTCACGCACTGCTGCTAGCAGCATACTGATATCACGACATCACCAGAGCTCATATGCAAAAAGCATAGTACCACAAAAAACTCCTACCCAAGTGCAAAAACGTTCCAAAGCTGGGAAATCAGCCACACTTAATTTATAACCCAGGCTTTGGCAATTCACAGGTTGGGTATCGGTGATGTTTCGGGCTGCATACGTGCCGTTTGCCGCATTCATCTTCCGCGTCCCCTTTCGTAGGGCCGCCCGACTAACGTGGTCATATCTGCAGGCTGTACCATAGGAGCAACTGAAACCATTTATCAGTACTCAATTCAAAGAAGGAAAATTTTCAATTGAGATGGACCACGCCCAACTAACAGATGGGTGGAAATTATATTGCAAATTCTGAATGTTAACACAAACAGGATACAAAAAAGCAAACCATACCGTCAGGCAATAGGCAACGAGCTCGGGCAACTCCCATGCTGATGTGAAAATCAATCAAGACAAAAAAGCAGAGGCCCCCCCGATAAGCACTAAAACGACACAGGATCAAAGATATTTAACAAAAGCAGTAATGTTGCACTGAGCACTGATAACAGCGCACCTGCTCCGTACTGCACAAACGCTCCAGAACAACATCCTCACTAACTATGATCGACCAACGTACCACCACCTGACTCAACGTTTAGCTAGGTTGCAAAAGCTATTCGTAACCCTGCTCAGCGAACGAACAAAAATCTACCGTGTTCCTAGAATCGAGCCACAGATTTTGATAAAACATACCTGCCACGTTGATAATATCTACAGACGAGATCTGCCGACTATTCCTGTCATGTGAGTAAGTGCACTGATCACCCTGAGTACAACAACCACTGGCAAAATATCGACAAATATTTCGGCTTGGACCTGATGTATCTCTTGGCATAAGTACCTAAGATGACTATCATTAAAAAAGAGTACATCTTTGAAGAAACCCAGTCAAGTGCTGCATGCAACAACGGATGGCAAAAAATAATCCTCAAGGGCCATCTTTTGCTGGAATACACAATGCATGTGACTTATTTGAAAGCAGCCTAGAAGCAAATGAATGAATCGAGATGGATCGCAGAGACCAAGATATGTAAGCACGTGCTTCTCCCTCACCCAACTTTCTACACAGTACGCGACTCCGTAAGGAGGCAAGTTTCGGTTGTTTAACGAGCAATTCGACCAACAGTGCCATCGTAAAGCCGATATGTAGCCTCCAGTTTTCTCATCGTCAATTAAGGTCGGCTTCTGATGGTTTATTGTCTTTACGGGAGATGAGAGGGAGAAGATAAAATGCGTCATACTGCACGCCAGTTAGCGTCTACGACCTAGGCAGAGATTGGATTCGACTTCATTAAGCTAAATTAGACACTACAGCGAGGCTTGGCTAATTCACTACCACCTCGTTATCTAGTCGATGATGTCAATGGTGTCCATGAACAGCTTAACCTACCTAGGCTCACACTCCAATCCTGCCTCCGAATCCTTCTAGAATTCTCATGGAGAAGAGGCGCGAGGGGGTGGGTGTCCACCGTACGTGTTGTACATCTCTCTTTCATTTTCCCACCTATCCATCTCAGGCCACTCTACGACCCACAGCCACTCCTGCGCCCACCAAGACGAACAAGAATTGACGGGGAGTCCTTCACCGTGGTTCATCCTGGTTAAAGGAAGTGGTCACGATAATTCCCATGGGGACGATAAGGAAGCTATGTACTGGAGTGGATAGGGGTCCTGCCCAATGTTACAACACGTGAAGTTTCAGTGGCAGTGGCGCCTTATCAACGGAGTGATAAGGCGCCGAAATCCACTTCCGGTAGCAAAAACCAAGACTTATCGATGTGGAAAGGGGTGCGATAAGAGCGTGCTAGATATGATACCGTTATCGTTATCGTCCCGTTTTCATTCTGGAGTGCACCTATCAAGCAGCCGCACCTTCTTATCTCATCGTATCATATCTTCCATGGGCTTACACTCGTCCAACAATTACTGCCTCACACCTTATCGATTGATAACGCGAGGGTAGCAAATCCACGTGGAAGCCAGCGTGATCGCTTCCCCTGAAGAATCATCAACAAAGCTTGCCGGCTGCTAAAGCGCAAACCATGAATAAGTTTGAAAGGTTGCACCATGACTCCCCACTAGTAGCTTCAAACAGCTGCATGTGGGTGACCTCAACTGCCATGCAGTCATGTGGTTTACTTAATCCTTTTCCAAGCCATAATTATGATCCAAATATTAGACAAGTATTTTAACATGACCGGCACACATGATATTCAAAAAATAAACACAGCTGTAGTTCTAGTTTACTCCGACAATTAACGTATGTGAGGCAGAAATTTAATCGAGTGTACAAGAAGACCGTCAAAGACAACCCTACAATGATTACGCTTGTGTAAGCAATACATTAATACGAAATTTTCTCAATACAAAATTTAAAAACTAAGTATAACGTCAAAAGATAACGACTACTTCAAAACTACTGTTTAGAACATTGCAATTAATAGTCTTTTAAATATCCGTAAACTACTTCCCAACAAGGGGAACCGAGGCATGTATCACAAAAACGACTGAAGAAGAATCCATTGTTAGTAAGGCACATCGAAAACTAATATACTTCATTTAGAATTTAATGTACTTTTTTACAGTGTAGGCGTAGAAGTTCAATATCCGCGTAAATCACTCGTACCGAACATAATTCATGTAATGATGAGGATAGGAATATACAATGTATACATCTACAAATTAAAACTCTGACTAGTCATAAAAACGTAATAACCAATTCAGATGCATTTTGGCGCACATGTACCTCCGACGTACCGGATATTGGGTGCAGCAGTGTGAATGCGTTAGGCAATGTGTGCGTTCACGAGATTGTGCACTGAAATAGCGAATTTTTGTTTTATTTTGGGGAAATCAAATGAATAATTTCAAGAGTCTGGACGATGTTGCAGCGGTGTAGAAGGCGGGGAGGGGGGGGGGGCAGAACATAAGATATACAGAGAAGGAAAGAGAAAAAACAAGGCTTTAGAAGAGAAATTAGAAGAAAATGAAGAGCAGCAGAATTGTTCAACTCTGGCAAAGGACGAAAAGAGAGGAAGCACGAGAGAGAAAAGACACCAATGAAGAAGTTAGCCAAACAGCAGCCAGAAAAAGAGCAGGCCTAAGTGATGAAAAGAAACGGGGTTGTATACCGAAACCACCACCTTCGTTGCCTCATATTTTATATCAACAACTACGTGATCTAAAAGATCTAAAATAAAGGTGGGGATACGTCACTGTTCTAAGTGCCACTGCACACTCTTCACCAGAGCTACTTTATCACAAAACAAAAACATTACCCACCTTTTTGTCTTTGGACCCTGTATTTGCAGTAACCGGTCTGCTATTTCTGTGTGTGGCTCTCTCATAACTGGAGCGTCTGTAACAAAATATATCCGAACTGGTCCATCATTAGTCTTGCGACCTCGTTAATCACCAAAACAAAATCTGAGAAAAGCTACATCGAAAAGATGAGTTTTGAACACAGAACCGAGGCAACGTCAAAGTACACACTAACATTAGAAGACAAGTGTCCGACATGATAAAACTACGCGAGGCAACCACCACAGACTCATGGTTGCTATGGATAGTAATCCCACCCGTCATTGTTGAAACTAGCGCTTTCGAAAGGAGCGCACACCAAAACCTCGAATGGCTGCAAAACCAATCATCAGCGCTGAGCATATTTTGGTATTCCATCTCATGTAAGAGAACGTTTTTGGTGACGCAACATGCTTCGCTTGTCTATCCTCCCAAAAAACCCCTCGTCCATCAGACTAGACAGACAGCGATCTCATCGTCATTGAAAGCGAGGGAATTCTTTTCCTGTAGAATTACAATAATTGCAAGGAGGTGATGCATATATGAAATACAATCCACTAGAAGCGCTCAACTAGAAGAGCGGGCCATTTCAGTGCTGAGGGCATTTGAAACTGTGGCAAATGTTTTCATTTATTAATGACGTTTAGAAAAAGTATACACAACAAAATCCTCTTTTACAGTAGCGAACGATTCGTGTACCCATCCCGGGCTCCCCTTCCAAAAATTGGAGTTACAGTAGTAGATACGATCAATTGACAAGATATCTCGTCTGCAGTACATGAATGCGATAAAATGCCTTCATCGGACAAATGAGGACCTGAACCCTCTCCCAAAGACCCGCAACGAACAGCCCTAGGGGCACTTCACATTCACATAGTGCATCATGCAAATAATAATCTAGATAAACTCTAGTTATATAAACAAACAAACCTTTCCTCTGTAGGAGAAGGATAACGCTGAGCTTGTGCTGCAGCTTTTTGAGCGGCAGCTTTTTCAGCTTCTTGTCTAGCCAGTTCTTCCTCGCAAGCTTGCATCTCTTGGGCTATCAAAAAACTGAAACCGATTCACGTGTGGTAGACCTTTTTTCACCCAGCGAAGCTGATTTCGAATAAAATCGAGTGACAGTTGAAACGTACTCGACATCGGTGGAGCACACTCCCTGGGATTCATTTGTAGCACTACTGGTGCGAGGAGAGCCAACAGTGAAGTCACTTGCGAAGAAAATCGAACTTCCGTCAACATTATTGAAGGACTCCCAAACAATGGATGGCTCGTTAACGTAGCCACTGTCGGACACGAGTAAGTAAAGTAGATCCTGAAATGTAGAGAAATGCATATATCCAAAATTCTTGCAGTGATCAACTAGGATCCCCTCAAGAGATGGAAAGAGTACTCAAATCTAGTATCTGCATAAAAATTACCGAAAGCAAGGAACTTTTGTAAGAGGGTATCATAAAGAGAGGTGGTGGAGAGAAGTGGGATGAGTGTTACTCTGAGACAGCGTTCCTGTTGCAAACCTTCCAACACCTCATGTACTGCTAAGTATTGCACTTGCTCGCCACTTTACCGTGGCAATTCACCATCAGTGGAGGCATTAAACTAAGAGCCGAAAGAAAGAAATAAGACAGAAGTCACGAAGGACAAGCTATCCTTAATTCGACGGAACTACTTGAACTCAGCCCTTTAAACCGCCTCTGCGCTCTCTCGCGGGTCCCTCTCCTCTCCAAGGCTTAGTCCTAGGGCATTCACCCGTTCTCTAATCGTCTGTGCTCTAGCCATCGCGGCAGGACCATTGAGGAAAAATCAAGTAGTCCGTAAACCAGAGTGTGGTTCATTAGGACAGAAAGCGACGTTTTCGCGAACCATCAGCGGACCTGAGATTCCCGCAACGAACAATGTTTCGCGCTGCGAAACGCGAAAAAGTCGTCTGTCCTAATGAACCACACCCCGTAAATCATGAGCTCACTAAAGTGGGACCTAAGTGACAGAAAAAACTTTGAAATAGGCAAAAAAATCAAGTAAAATTCGAACAAATGGTGTGATATGAAGCCGATATCTCACCTTTCTTTTATGTATCGTATGGAAGTGGTTATTTCGAAATAACACGGCTAGTTCGCCATCTTGCATTGCCTCCATGAGACCAATTAATCCATGATAAGTCAGTTGCGTGACATTTTCTTCCAAAAACTCTTGCAGTAACAATCGATTGTAGTTTGATTCGTCACAAATTTGTTCCACAAGCTGATTGTAGGTTAAATCTCCAACAGCCTTTCCTAATAACATAAGAAGTTATGGAACAAAAAGAAAAAGTAATATGAAGTAATTCAAGTAAATAATATAAACGTACTTATTTCTACAAACTGGGGATCAGGGAGCCATCCATGATATAAATTGACACGCAGTAGATCAAATAAAGATAGTGCGGGAGTAAACTCAAAGTCAGTGACGTGACGAAATCTAAACGTCGAAGTGATTTTAAAAGAGCCTCGAAATAGAGTATACTGAAAACATGCACAGGATCTGCTAATCTGAAGAGCTGAGCACATAATACCTGACATTCACATCTAATCCGCGTCCTAAATCCGGAAGGAGGTTTATTACATCATCCAAGTTTCTATCATAGTTACTCTCTACGTGAGTGGTCATGTTTTCAGGCCGCATCTGGAGAAGAGCATCTGCAACCTGAAGCATGTTCTCTCGGCTCTAAACTATTACGTTTGAGAAGGCGCAAGAAAAAGTACCAAGTGGGTAAGTGCGTCCCTCGTTACGTGTCCATTTGCTGGAAGTTTCGTTAGTCCTTCAAAGAAATGCGTAAACAGTAGTCAGCAACAAATCACCAAACAATAAGAATTACGAACATCGTAAGACTATACCTTTCAAAGCAAGCACATTTACGAGTGCTATTAATGGACATGGACCGTTAAGATTTTGAGTAACGATGGACGTTTTAATTGAGTTGAATTGGACAGTTTTCAACTGAAATGATATTACTGCATTACGAAAGGATGGAGCAACAAATACTGACAGAAAATTAGAGCTTTTGGAAAGTTGAGATTAGGGAGGAACATTTAGGAACCTAAGCAGTAGCGATAAGGGCGCACTTTTTCAAAAGAGATGGTAATACTCCATTTCATATGAAAATTAAAACAAAAGCAGCAGGTTTACGCCTTTTGTGAAGTGAAGAAAAACAGTGGGGCATTCAAATCAGAAATATAAAGTGTCCTATGCCCCTCCCTTCCACCCGCCCTTCCGCCCCCTTGTAGGCTCTATCAAACAAAAAATCTTTGCTACGGTCTGAAACAATTTCAAAGGAATTCCACTTCTCAGCCAGTGGCTTACAGGAATGTTCGAAAACGATCGACAAAGGGCAAAAGAACTCCTCAAAAAGGAAGGATAAAAACTATGCACATGGGTGACCATGGTGCAGAGAAAGAACGCTAAACCAACACCATTAGCCCTCCTACTTGATGGAGAACTGAAAAACGCCTTCACAGAAATTCAGCCTCAAACAAAAGACGACTTTTCGCATTTCTAGGAAACAAAATAAAACCTTGAATATGTCGCGATCGTCATCGTGCTGATACTGACTAGACACGGTCTTGGCTTCTGGTTTCTGAAATGAAACAGAATTTTGTCACTGGTCGGAAAATTTTACAAGAACTTCAAAAAACGTTCTGAGCAACCTACAGCTTCCTTGGCGATTTCGTCCGGTTGTGGAGGAACGCATGCCGACTGGAGAACAGTGGATAAGTCTGGGTCAGCGTTACCCTTTGAACTGCTTTGAACTAAAGCAGGGTCTAGCTCGATGTTCTCGAGTAGATATTCCACTGTTTCGATCACGGCCTCATCAATTGCGTCTATTTGATGATCATTAGTACTGTTGTTAGTAGAAGAATCGGACATATCACCGCGATTCTAAAGAAACGTCATTTACTGATGATGTTTATCAATTACAAAACAAAACAACATCTATCAGCTTTACAGGGCTAATATTTGCATTAAAGGACATGAAAAAACGAAACATTTAACACATGTATGTCCCGAGGTATTTGGACAGCCGTTTCGTGGCCGAGAGGAAGAGTGAAGATTTCAGATTGGATCTGGCAAATTTAAAGAGACAATGCGATTCAGCACGGGTACTCAGGGGCATATGAATGTTCCGGAAACAGCTGTAGGTTCTTGTTATCAGCGACTGTCATCATGAATTGAGCGTCGCAAAAGTGCATGAATTGGCATTCGAGCACGAAAGCGCGGCCAAGAGCTTTTCGAGGCTCATGCTGAAACATGGTTATGGTAAGGTTCACTGAGAGAAAGGGCTTTCCGCTCTTGCATCGCAAAACTTCGCGTTCCTTCTAGCGACCCATACCCCTAAAACACTATCAGTTACACTTCAAGGGCTCCAACTTCCTAGGTCAAAGGTTTCCCCAGTCGTCCTGCTCTTACTGTTAGCATTATAACGAATATTTCTACTATGGATTTGAAGGGCGGAAGTGGTGTAGTGGCAAGTGGCACGCTTACCACGCGAGCGGTCCGGGGATCAAATCCTGGGTCGTGAGTCGCCCGGGCCAACCAAGCCTTCCATCCCTCCGGGGTCGGTTAATTGGTACCAGACTTGTCTGGGAGGATAAAAACACTGACTTGTACATCGGCTGGCCCCCGCAAGTCATTGTATAGGCCACATCGCATTCAAACGCCACTACGAATGTACAAATGGAAGTAGAATGCGTGCCGCATCCCAAAAAGGGATTGATCAACGGCAAATGCTTTATCCTTTTATTTATACGCAGTTAGCACTGCTTAGTATGCCAAATGTAAGAAATGTGATTACGGCGGACATTTCCTTTCAAGAAACGAAAAACCTTTCGGCGCTCTTTCAGTAAGGAGAGTAGGGGTAGTGGGGGGGGGGAGCATTACGGTGCAGAGGGAGTGGAACCGTATCGAGAAAATGCCCGCATCTCACCGACCCCCACTTTGACGGAGGTTGCGATACGATCTCTTCGTACCCTCCGCACATGTGGGTTTTTTTTATAGCAACAATGCTAGCTTTGGGGCGCATTCAAGGTCGGTTGTCCGATCGTAATGATCGCATGTGTCGCACGTCAGACGATCGATACGTATCTAATGCTGTGCGGTCGTTATGATTGTTATGATTTGGACGACTAATTTTATACTGCGTTATACATTGCACACCGATGTCACGGCCATTGTGACCATCGTGGCTCGGCTTATGACAGCTGCTGTAAGGAGCCCAACCATCTCCATATTTTTGCATCCTGATATTTACTGCAATGATGTGGTGACCATGACTAAATGATTTTACAGAGACCACGCTGCTTTTGAGTGGCTGGGTAAACTATGGCTCACTTGTTTGAGGTATCTCCAGACTCCTTCTTAATGGCTTCGTATTGGTAGATGAACCAGAAAATAAGGTGTTCTAGGTGAAAAAGGGTTGCTTCCTATAGATGAAGAGAGGGATTCTAGCACTCAGAGGACAGCGTGGCACAGCGGTGTGTCACGTTGTCGTACAAAGGTGACTCTAGTTCTCCATTTATCTAGATATCTTCATGATTCAAAACCATCCGTTCACATTATCGGATTTGGAGTATACACTCGTGATCAATAAAGAAATTATCAGACAGGCAAAGACGACTGGAAAAAAATATATATAGAAGAGATGCCGAGATACACTTGTAGTGACTGTCACTAATGTAAAGATGAACATGGCTCGTACAATTACAATAATTTTGAACAAAAACTTTCTGGCGCTAATGAAATGTAAAAGCTGCCTTTCCAGCATGGGCTCTCGCTGTGGATGTTTTGCCATCTTTTTTCGCAAGTTTATACAGATCATCATTTTTTTGTTTGTTGTTTCTTATACTGCCTTGCTCCTTCCAGTACCAGGTACTTGTTTTTGATATTTTCCGTTGGTTATGTTGTACTGCTTCATGTGCTAAAGCACATGCAATATAAATGAATAAATAAGTTTGTTCAATATTTTGTGAACAGTATTGCTCGAATTGTATCTTTCTACTATTTGGATCAAACCTCTTTGAATCGGAAAATCCAAAAAAAGTACAAATAATAGCACGAAGAGTGTCATGTCCTCGTCCTCGCCGAAAGGCGGGGCCACCTGCCGAGACGTGGCTTAGTGAGTCACGTCAAGGCATGGTGGGCCTACTTAAGCCTCCGCGAGCCGGGGGCGAGAGATCCCGTCGGGTCCAGTCCTGGACTCCTTCGTCTAACCCCTCTTCCCCTTTTCCCGTATCTTAACATGTAATGAATAAATATGTGTATGGCTATTCCATGTACTTATACACCCGACCGCTACACATGCCTTCGGCAAGACTATAGTATGAACCTTTTTATTGTAAGAGAAAAAACAACATGTGACTCAAAATAAATAATGAAAGGCTTTTCAGCACAATTAGTAGAGTAAGACTGTTTAATGATTTTTATCACTAAACAGTTAATTTCCATCAGGGACGGTAGCAATCAGTACCTTATCGCAATCGAGAGTACTCGACGGAGCTTTCTAAGCAAAAATAAGGAATGGAGAGTGCGATCCAGCCCAGATCAAGCAAGAGCTTCCTACTTTAGATTTCAGACGACAAAATATCAGGAAACGAATAAATAAGAAAAAAAAGGTTGCAAAAGTACCTGAAGATTATGGATCGCAGCTGCATTCTTTGATTCCTAACAGGTTGAGCTGGTCAGAGAAGAAAAAAGAGCACGGGATTGAGGAGGCGCAGTCACCACGTCTGACACGTATGACCCTCCAGTAAAAAGTGCTTCGGAGTACTTTTTAGTGAAGGATCAACGTGGCCTCTGCGTCTCTTTAACCCCACAGTATTTTTTTTCTCTGATTAGTTAGGAATTAGGTTTACAAGTTAACTGTCTAACTTCAAGTCAAATTGGTTTTTTTGGTTATGATCTAACTGTAGGTTAATCAAGACTTAATGTGTTGAGAAGCGCTCTGAACCAGTTATCTAAACTGACTTTGTGCTGGATGCCGAATCTCGAACGTTAAGTGTGACGTTAATGAGGTTTGCGCGTCCCAGATAATGTGTTCATAATGAGCAGCGTAAGACGAGGTGTCACGTGATACGGTGGATAAAAAGGTTCACCTCCTCCTCAAGTTGCATGGTATTAGTCGGATCGGATGGTGAGCCAGAACAGCTTGCGATGCAGGGCTCCTTATGATACAAACCGAGAGTCTGGCTCTGGTTCATGTTATACCTCTATTGAGGCAGATGACAGCGATCGCGGTGTTGTTGTGAATACAGTGCATAGGCAACATCCGGAGGGGCCGATGTGGTCCCCACGCTATGTACGAGGTTTCGCTAGAAGCTTAGGTCGATCCGTCGCAGTTCGCGATTTTCGCGATTGCGATTTCGCGATTTGCGCGATTTTCGCGATTCACGCGACGGGTCACGGAAATCACAAGTGCCCGATCAATACTGCAAGGTGTTCTCCAATCCTGCCGCCACTTCTGCTTGATAGTGATGGCTGAATGACGACTGCTCATGATTCCACTTGTTTCAGTGTTTCAAATGTTCACACACTTGCAATTTTTGTGGCAGGTTTCGCGTAAATCGCGTGAACTAATCCGGTCAACAAAGATCGCCAATTTTTTCTTCCGCTGCTATACATATTGCAGCTAGGATTACGCTAACTCGCCCTTCCTAGCTGTGTGCTCGTCCGCAACCCACTCTATTCGGATATATGTGTGTAAACATAACACAATAAGATGGCGATCTAATGTAAACAGCCTTTCGGCCGAACCGAAAAGTTTCACCGCCTTTTATTAACAGCTATTGAAGAAAGCGAAAAACGTTGTTAGTCGGATTCGAAAGACGGCTCCCATGGGGTAGGAGGTCGTAGTGGTTGCCACTTCTCCTCTTCGTTGTCCGCGTCTCCTGCCTCAGAAGCAGGACGACTTACGCCTTCGAATCTTCTCCTGTTCCAACAGCTCTTCACCGCTTAGATCTACCCCATTGCCACGAAAATACTTCGAGTTTATGGGCATTGTGTGGACTCCTTCCTCGAAGAAGTCCACACAATGCTCAAGATCCTTTTCAGCAATTCAATAACTTAATTAAGAAAAATCTCTCCATCGAGCAAAAGTACACTTACCCTGTGCTGTTTGCGCTGTTTTAGCACTTCTATGGCTTCGCTCTGGTCCTCCACAATCAACTCGTGCACTTCAACGACTCCTTCCAATGTTCAAAGGGGTGGACGTCCTTTACGCCAGCCTGCGCATTAAATGCGATCTCATCGCAATGCTCACACATGGCCGGCTAATTTTTATTACTTAAGTACAAACCGCAGTGTACTTTGTACTTTTTTCCTCTCACCTACCGCCAACACGCTCATCATCTCCTTTTGAAATGGCATGCTGGCCGATCGATTCATCTTTTCCTCTCTAAAGAAAATCAGGAGGCAACCCGTCATGCCTTCTGACCACAACCTTCACAATTCCAATAACATCAAAATATTAAGGGCTCTCAATACACCCTTTGTCACCGTAAAAATGCAAATATTTTACCCGGTGCTGGGATCAATTAGAGATCGGTAGCCGGGTGCAGTGGCCGCTGTCCACGGCACAGCCCCATACCAATCCGCACAGTCTCTTCAGTAGCTCGCACGTACCGCAATTCTTCTCTCCAGTCGACGCTGGAGATGCTTTCGCTCAACTCTCCAATTTCCCTCTCCTATGAGATAGTTAGTTTACGGTCCTTCTTTGCCAATGCCAGGCACTCCGCAAACACTGCTGTAGCACGTCTGTGGGCGCTACATGTCCAAATTCGCTGACTGTGGCAGTAAGAACAATCCCTCTGGAAAAGAAAACCCACACACCGAGTTTCTCCCACTATTCTCTAATAGCTTGCAAAGATCCACTGAAT